GTGTACGATGGAAGCACTAACACGCAAAACCTGTCATCTCTCTGTCTTTCGCTTGTTGCATAAGTGCATATTTTTCTTCTGCGTTCATTCGAAGAAATAATTGCGTTTTGCCATTTACAGCATGGCTGCGATATTTGCACCTTTTGATCAACAGATTCAACTTCTGCGGGCACTGGTTGACCGCATTAACTTTCCCGGATAGCAAGTGTATGATAACTTAGTCCTGTCTATTTCTTGATGTCATTCTAGGTTTTTCTTAACCTCCTCTACTTCGACTAACCACCACCCTCCTCCCTCCCCCAGTGTTCATTAAGCACAGTTTTTGCAGTGGAGTGTCTCACCAAGTGCCCGAATCCGGCTGGCTTGCGACCTTTCACCACTGCTCTTGATATCAAGCAAATTGTGTGTGTGTCTCTGACATATGTGTTAGTTTTATGTTCTAAATAACTAATTCTAAAATTGGTCTATAGCATTTACATTCGAAGCCTAAATCCTCCGTTCCATTTCCCCAGTGAGAGTCCAACTGGTCAAATCTGGTGATTGTGGAACCGCCCATGGAGCAGTAGGAGCTTCAGGTGTTGCTAGGGGCAATGGTAGTGGAGACAACAAAGAAGTCAAAGATGAATCAAAATCTCCGACGAGGATGCACATGGACATTTTGATCTAACACAATCAATCTACTGAACGTACTGCACCAACACGAAAGTAGTGAGCCGATCCATCTCTCGACTTAGTCCCTACGTTGCGCTAGAACCCTGTACGATTCCGCAATGAAAAGTCATATTACATGTTTATCGTCTGACCGCCGCAGACCCAACATCCAAAAATTAGCCGTTTCTTGAGTCCCGGGTCTCACGATTCGTGGAAAACAAAAATTTCAAACGGTCCCCGCGTTCAGCTGCCCGAAGGCATGCTATATTGCAGGGGTCACATTTCTATCTCAGTTTGAATTTTGTTTTTTCGTGGCGAAAGAAGTTTCGCTTGAGTTTTCGATTCTTTGTTTCAACATGTCGGCGTGGTCTGGCTTAGCGGGTTTTTGGCTTTTGATTGGACTGTTTTCTGCGTTTTTGGGAGTGGATTAAAAGCACTGGAAAAGACTGTCAGTTTTCCCGGAGGCAGCCTGGAACGGGTATTTGTCTTGTGCTGGCGCTTTCTGCTTGGGGTGTCGTTGCTTCTATTAAAGGCGGTCACATCTTCTGCTAGGTTTGCAACTGTATGGCTTAGTGATGGTAAAGTTACTCCTTTCATTGTTTCGTATCTTTTGGAGGTGTAGTCATTGCAAAGCTTCGTTCAGCTGGCTGTAGAGTACATTTTCTCGTGCACGTATATCGCTTGTTTCTTTCATGGTTAGGCTTTCTTCTCTTAACATTCCTGCTTTGTTATAGGCTCTAAACAAGCGGCTTTTCCCTCAGCTCCACTCTGTGCGAATGCACCCCTTTGTTCACTCGTCAATGTAGTTCCTGTACATCGGCCTTGCTGAACTCGGGATCGACTACCGTTTCTGGGTTTTCTTATCTGGTTTCTTTCATACTTTGGTCTTCTTGGTATGTGTACCAAAAAAAAAAATACTATTCTCGGTGGGAAAAGCTTTGATTTGACTGGATTACTAAATGATTTTTGCAACATAAGAAGCACAAAAGAACCCATAAAAACAACTGCTAGTCTGTGCAGCAGACAACTTCATGCTCTAGTGACGTTTCAATTCATGTTCAGAAATGACTGAAGATGGCTAACATATTAGAATGTCAGTTTCACATTATCTTCTGAATCTGCTGGCACATTTGTTTTATCAATGTTATATTACCTGTTTAATTTATTGGCACAGCTGTATGTTTGACGTTTTATTATCTGATCAATTTACTGACATATTTCTTTGACCAATTTTATAATATCTGTTCAGTTTACTGACATATTTCTTTGACCAATTTTATAATATCTGTTCAGTTTACTGACATATTTCTTTGATAAATTGTATTTTATCTGTTCAGTTTACTGACATATTTCTTTGATCAATTTTATATTAACTGTTCAGTTTACTGACATATTTCTTTGATCAATTTTATATTATCTGTTTAGTTTACTGACATATTTCTTTGACCAATTTTATAATATCTGTTCAGTTTACTGACATATTTCTTTGATCAATTTTATATTATCTGTTTAGTTTACTGATATATTTCTTTGATCAATTTCATATTATCTGTTCAATTTTCTGACATATTTCGTTGATCAATTTTATAATATCTTTTCAGTTTACTTACTTATTTCTTTGATCAGTTTTACATTGTTTAGTTTACTGACATATTTCTTTGATCAATTTTATAATATCTGTTCAGTTTACTGACATATTTCTTTGATTAATTTTATATTATCTGTCCAGTTTAATGACATATTTCTTTGATTTATTTTATATTATTTGTTTAGTTTACTGACATATTTCTTTGATCAATTTTATATTATCTGTACAGTTAACTGACATATTTCTTTGATAAATTTTATTTTATCTGTTCAGTTTACTGACATATTTCTTTGATCAATTTTATATTAACTGTTCAGTTTACTGACATATTTCTTTGATCAATTTTATATTATCTGTTTAGTTTACTGACATATTTCTTTGATCAATTTTATATTATCTGTACAGTTAACTGACATATTTCTTTGATAAATTTTATTTTATCTGTTCAGTTTACTGACATATTTCTTTGATCAATTTTATATTAGCTGTTCATTTTACTGACATTTTTCTTTGATCAATTTTATATTATCTGGTAATTTAAATGACATGTTTGTTTGATCTTCTTTTTCTTCTTTGCGTTCACCTGCTGTGAATTCTGGCGAAAGGTCCCCGTAGTTCGTGCATTTGGACTTTTGGCTTTTACCTGGACCTGAGTTTTGTGTGTACATCCGTTTGACTGTCTTATTTGTTTGCCATTACCCACCTCACCGGTAGATGTACTTCAACCGAGGGAGGACGTCAAGCCTATCTCTAGGATGACTGTGGGCATTGTTTTGTGTGGGTCGAGATGTTGCCTCATTTGTGTGGTGTCCTCTTTGTCCCTTTATCTACAGCTGTTGCCCCTGGAGTACCTCCTTTAGGGCAGCCTTATGTAGAACGGTCAGCCCTCAAAGGAAGGCAGAGGCAGATCATGGGCATTCCCCACCATCAAAGGAGGCTTCTATAAATGCAGAGCCGACACATGATGCTTTGGTTCTGGGCTCACCCAAGGAGTTGTCACGTCCTGCACATGACTGCTTAACCTCACAACCGTATATTAAGCTTCCCGTTTGACACGGACTGCACCATCCAGAGATCAGCAGAGAGCAGCTCGCAGGTCCACACGAATAGTTACATTCTTCTTCGTCGCACTTTAGACATCTTTAACGTTGTATCAACTGTGCCTTTAGCATGACAGAATAGAGAATCATGCGTCAGGCACGGCTTCATCTGTTTGGTCAAAACGCTCGGGCCACTGGATGCGAACATTAGACTTTTTTCCAGACAGTACGATTTATGGTGGTCGGATTTTGAGCTTGCTCGTGTGTCTTGGGATCTATCTTTGTGAGACATTAGGGCCTAGCCAACAGATAAACTGTTACTGTCGTGGTGTACCTCAGCACGGTGACGACCACGCTGAGGGTTGACAGAGGATGTACATAGGCAGGATCTTACTGCAAGAAACCGCCCACAGGAGATGTTTCTCGTCTAAGCTGCGGGTAAATCTCTTGGTCAAGGGTTGAGTCTCGGCAGCACAGTTTTCCATTCACTCCACAGACTTTTAACCGAGAGTTGTCGCTTAGTGGTACATTTGGCAAGCAGACTTTACTCATGTTCCAAATGGGTTTTGATAGACTGATGAGAGCCAGAAAGGACACTATACCTCTGGAGGCCGCCAACTCCGGGATCCCCTGACAGCTCTGTTAATGTTCATTTGAAACATTATCCATGGCCAACAACGAGGACATGCAGCAGGAGTCTTGCATGAGGTTCCGTAAAACCAGAACAGTGAAAGGCTGGCGCCTGAGTTCGGTACTGAGTATCTCCTTATACACATCACATCGGACTTAACTTTCCCTCACGCCTGTGTCAGAAATCACCGCACTACATTTGTTTGATCAAATTGTATTATCTATTCAATTTACTGACACAGATGTATGATCAATTTTATATTATCTGTTTAATTTACTCATACGTTAGTTTCATCAATTTTATATTATCTGTATAATTTAATGGCATATTGTTACATTATGCGATAAGCGGCCCACAATGAGAGTGACTTCCCTTACCACTGATGCCTCAATCTGGTGTAGCACTTGCACTATGTTGCAGGGGTTTCAGGCGTAGCGAGTCCTTGTTGCCAGTGGCTGGTGATACCGTTTCTTCTATGCTGTGAGCTTTTAACGGTCCTAAAACACGTACAAGTGGGTCTAACCCCAATCCCCCTAATCCACAGCCTCAGTCTATGTCCCACGACTGTATGCAGTCGTGCAACTTTGGATGCACCCCTGCGACATAGTGCAAGCGCTACACCAGATTGAGGTATCAATGTGAAGGGAAGTCACTCTCATTGTGGGCTGCTTAATGTGATTAGAACCTGCATATTTATTTATCGGTTAAGTTTAGTGACATATATGTATTATAAATGTTTTATTATCTGTTAAATTTACTGGTCTGTTTGATTGATTGATTTTATATTATCTTTCAATTTACTGACATACTTGTTTGATCAATTTTATCTTGTCAGTTCAGTTCACTAGTACATTTGTATGATCAATGTTTTACTATCTGTTACAACAACTAGCACATTTGTATGATTGATTTTCTATTATTTGTTCAATTTACTTACATATTTGTTTGATCAATTGCATATCGCTTTCTTTTTTCTCTCAGCTGAACCCCCCAAAAACATCATCATACACAAATGACAACTTATAAAATTAACCTGTCTTTATTGAAATAATAACAATAAGATACAAGTTAAAACTTATCCACACAAACATTATATCCTTCTTGCTTTCTTTTGGTGTTTAGTTCCAGCGCTGTTAGCTTTTCTTTTTAGATCCCTGAAATATAAAATGAAAGATAATACTTCTCACAATCTTCTTTAGTTCAAACACAAAAACTACTATCATTATAGAACTTTTTGCTACTATTTGTGTAGTCTGGACTGTTCCTGTGAGGAAATGAAAACTAAGCAGTGCCATGCCATGTTCAGTCTTATGTTTTTTCTTTCTACATTAACCTGTGTTTTTTGTTTTTTAAATCATGCACATTTGGACTTAAGTGTGAGTCTGAATGTCTACCACCATCATGGAGATTCTGGAAGTCATTTACAATGTGTGGGTCTTGACAAGCTTTATCCACACAGAAGATGTGAACTTCAAGAAAGTGAAAGCAGCCAGGGGGATGGGCTAGGGGAGGGTCAGAATCACCTCAACCTTATGTCTAACGCATTAAAATGGATATTGGAAAGTTATTGCAACTGGCAATCTTTCATTGGCTTAGACAGCTCATTTTCACATAACAACATGTTGAGCCTTTTAAGGTAACAACTGCCTACAACAGCCAAACTTTTTAGTCATTTCTTATGACGCACTCAGTGAATAATGTTTTACTATTCTTTGCTTTCCTGGTCACTGCGCAGAATTGAAAAATCCTCTCAAAATCCCAGATTTAAAAACTAAAATAATAATAAAACAGCAGCAGCACTATGAGTGGCATAGTTTTGTTAGTTGCCAGATTGCTGTGATGACGTAAAATGTAGGCTAAAAATAAGCCAGAATGAAGTAAAATATCTCAACCCTTGCACTTCAACTGCTCATTAATTTCCCACTTGAAACACGCAGCAGGACACTTCAGTTCAGTTCACTGAGTCTCTTTTTTTGTAATGTTAGTTGCATATTCTTACTGTACATTTCAGAACCTCTCCCCAGCATTTGTTGGCTGTCTCTGGTTTACTAGGCTATTTCATTCAGTAGTTTGCCACTGCTTCCTAAACATTCTGCTCTCGATACCACTCTCAGTACAGACACAAGACTGGTCTGCTGCCAAATCGACCACAGCTGGAAACAAACCGGATACTTATGAATTACAAAGCACACTCTCAATGCCCAAGCAACAGGCACCAAACTTTCACTTTAAGATACACATTAATTATCAAGTGTACACCCTGTCAACCAGTGTAATGTGAGTAAGTAAAGTTAAAGACCCTTCTCCACCCTTTCAGGGGTACTGGGCATACTGGGCTAGACCTATATTTTATGGACCAAACAAAGAGCATCCTGTCAGTGATGTGGTCAACATCACGCCAGCCATCTTTACTTCCCATGACTTTACCTGATATCCATTTAAAGCTGGGTCAACATGGGAGTGAAGATCAATTTTGGCGCTGCTATGGGGCTGAACCAACGACCATTAGATTCACAGGCGAGCATATAGCTGCTAGACCACAGCTGCTCCCCGCTGTAATGTAGTTAATGCAATCTTTCCTTCATACAATGGAAACATAAAACAGTCCCCAATAATGTCAATCAATTGATTTGATTGGCATCTTTCTGTCTTTCCAGACAACAGTGTATACTGTGTTTTGAGGAGGCACGGACTCACAGCCCTTGGCAATGGCGGGTGTGACGAGCAGCAAGACCCACCAGCGTTAAGAAAAGTACATATACTACCTGTCACTAACGCATTAGGGTTATCCAGGTTATGGTGTGCAGAGTTCAAGGATTTTCATCAGTTTTCATAAAAATCTCTTGTTATTCTCAGACCTTCAGAGGGATCTTGCATATCCCGATCTTTTTCAAGGTTTTAAAGACCACTATGAACCACGATGCAATATCTTCTATGCTACGATGAAAGATTGTCATGGATCTCTCCAGGCTGTCTTACTTCATCTCTTCTTCTTCTTGTTCCCCCAGCTACCCTATCAAAGTGTTGGGTGGGGGATATGTGAGGATCTTCTGACCATGGTTTCTAATGTGCTGTACACGTTGATCTTGACTTCTTTAAGGCTTTTACTGATGCTGTTTTTCCAATTTTTGAGTCTTCTCCTTGCTGTGTTGTTATTATATTTCTTTCACTTCTTCACAGCTGTCACATATCATGGTGTTTTTTCTTATGTGGAAAAAAATGAAAGTTTCTTTCTGTTTGTGATCTGTGGACTGTGAAAGGTTCTTTCCCAGTCTGATGAGGAACTACCAGCAGTACTGTACTAACTAATGTTTGAAACATACAAGCTCAAAAGGTTGAATGTCCTTAAATGCAAAGGACAGCAGATTACACCTGGTAATCTTAGTTTCAGCTTCATAGCAAACGGGTCACCCCAGTGTTACACCTGCCTGGTGTGACCCTTATGATAACCTCTTTAAAGTTTAACAGTGTTTATGGGATCTGCCTGGTTGGTCTGTCATGTAGACTAAGATTGTTTATGGGATCTGCCTGGTTGGTCAGTTGTGTAGATTTAGATTGTGTACGGGATCTGCCTTGTTAGTCTGTCAGGAGACTGAGATTGTGTAAGGGATCTGCCTGGTTGGTCTGTCATGTAGACTAAGATTGTGTACAGGATCTGCCTGGTTGGTCAGTTGTGTAGATTTAGATTGTGTACGGGATCTGCCTTGTTAGTCTGTCAGGAGACTGAGATTGTGTACGGGATCTGCCTGGTTGGTCTGTCGTGAGACTGAGATTGTGTACAGGATCTGCCTGGTTGGTCTGTCATGTAGACTAAGATTGTGTACTGGTTGATCTGCCTAAGATTGTTTTGGTGCCTGTCAGTTGTGTGATTTAGATTGTGTACTAGATCTGCCTTGTACAGGAGACTGAGATTGTGTAAGGGATCTGCCTGGTTGGTCTGTCATGTAGACTAAGATTGTGTACAGGATCTGCCTTGTTAGTCTGTCAGGAGACTGAGATTGTGTAAGGGATCTGCCTGGTTGGTCTGTCGTGAGACTGAGATTGTGTACAGGATCTGCCTGGTTGGTCTGTCATGTAGACTAAGATTGTGTACAGGATCTGCCTGGTTGGTCTGTCATGTAGACTAAGACTGTGTACAGGATCTGCCTGGTTAGTCTGTCATGTAGACTAAGACTGTGTAAGGATCTGCCTGGTTGGTCTGTCATGTAGACTAAGATTGTGTACAAGATCTGCCTTGTTGGTGTGTCATGTAGACTAAGACTGTGTACAGGATCTGCCTGGTTGGTCTGTCATGTAGACTGAGATTGTGTACAGGATCTGCCTGGTTGGTCTGTCATGTAGACTAAGATTGTGTACAGGATCTGCCTGGTTGGTCTGTCATGTAGACTAAGATTGTGTACAGGATCTGCCTTGTTGGTGTGTCATGTAGACTGAGATTGTGTACAGGATCTGCCTGGTTGGTCTGTCATGTAGACTGAGATTGTGTACAGGATCTGCCTGGTTGGTCTGTCATGTAGACTAAGACTGTGTACAAGATCTGCCTTGTTGGTGTGTCATGTAGACTAAGACTGTGTACAGGATCTGCCTGGTTGGTCTGTCATGTAGACTGAGATTGTGTACAGGATCTGCCTGGTTGGTCTGTCATGTAGACTAAGATTGTGTACAGGATCTGCCTTGTTGGTGTGTCATGTAGACTAAGACTGTGTACAGGATCTGCCTGGTTGGTCTGTCATGTAGACTAAGATTGTGTACAGGATCTGCCTTGTTGGTGTGTCATGTAGACTAAGACTGTGTACAGGATCTGCCTGGTTGGTCTGTCATGTAGACTGAGATTGTGTACAGGATCTGCCTTGTTGGTGTGTCATGTAGATTAAGACTGTGTACAGGATCTGCCTGGTTGGTCTGTCATGTAGACTGAGATTGTGTACAGGATCTGCCTTGTTGGTCTGTCATGTAGACTGAGATTGTGTACAGGATCTGCCTGGTTGGTCTGTCATGTAGACTCAGATTGTGTACAAGATCTGCCTGGTTGGTCTGTCATGTAGAGTGAGACTTTTTTAAATCTTAGGATGGCATGGTAAACCTCTGGTAGCAGCCCAGAAGGGACAGAATGATTGACAGATGCAAGCTCAGGGTGTTGGAGAAACAAAGAATGAGTGCATACAATTCAGAACTCAAAGATTCCACAAGTTCACAGATCCCCTCTCACTCCCTGACATCTGCTCTTGGAAAAAGGTTTTATCTCTCCACTCCTATGTTTAACTGCAAGTGCTGAGAATCAGAAACAGAGACATCATCTACCTCGGACTAGATAACAGATAAGAGATCAGATTACCACATTAAATTCCCACCTTTTCTGACCAATAGTTGCCATTTCAGTTTGTGGTCTCCGAGGACAATCTCTTCGTTTATGATCTGGTTCTCCACATATGTGACAACCTATATGATACAGTTTAACAAACAAACAAAAGTTAACAGAAAAAAGGTAGTTGCGCATCCTTACTGAACACTGTAGAAACAACCACAGCATTTGTTGGCTGTTTGGTTTTACTTGACAATTTCACATCAGTAGTTTGCCGCTACTTTCTGGATTGTCAGAACTACATACCATTGTCAAAATCAGCAAAAAGTAGTCTGCTGCCAAATCCCCTGCAGCTGAAATCTAACCGGTTATTTCAGAACTACAAGGCACATTCACAATGCCTAAGCCACACAGTCTGACAAAAGTCACGTTTTTGTTTCTAAAGTAAAGATAGTCCCACAGCAGTTACTGCGTTTGAAATGTTTACTCTTCACATATTCTAGGCAAGGATTTGCAAGATGGGGTGGCTAGTTAAGTCTTTTTCATTGCTTTCGTCATTATCTCATTATCACGTTAACACACTACGTGTTGTTGGGCCGCCAGCTGCTGTTGACTGTCTGATCAGCTCCCTCGACTTCTGACTGTCAAGGGCAATGGACTTCATGGTTACATGCCTAAGGCCTGTCCAGTCAGTCAAGTTCTGTATCAAGATCTTTCCTGGTCTGCCTCTTCTCTTTTTCCCCTATTCTGAGCCCTGCAGTATTGTTTTTGAGATGCTGTTAGAACTTATTATAATTCCGTACCAGAGTATTCTCCATCTTTTTCGCTGTAGTTAAAAGGGGCGCATAGTTGCCATTGTGCTGGTTAATTATATGGTGAACCTCGTCATTTGTGTTGTGGTCTCTGGATGATATGTCAAAAATGTTTCTTACTGCCTTATCTCCCTAAAATATTCAGAAAATAGTCTGGTGTTCATTTGATACGAGTCATCGTGGCATAGAGGCTAGATGCTTACCTGCGAACCAGAAGGTCGCGGGGCTGTGTCCTGACGGCGCTTGATTTTTTCCTAGGCTCCCAGGTCAGCCCAGCCTTGAGCGGGTACTAGGTAAAGTCCTGGGAAGTAAAGGTGGCTGGCATGATGCTGACCACATCACTCACTAAGGTCAACTGGTCTATAAAGTACAAGTTTTGCCCAATATGCCTTAAGACGTGGAAAAGGGTTCTTTAATTTATTCTTTTCTTCTTCTTAAAGTCCATGCCATGTGGCATCGGTAGTCAACCTTCTGTCTTGTGTACTTTCAGTCAATCAACTCTGAAACAGATCATCTTCCAAGAAATGATATCAAACTGTCCAGCATCTGTTCTCTTGGTTTCTATTTGCCTCTCCTACCTTCCAACTTTCCTACCATTGCAATGTACTCCAGTTTTCTTCTTCTCATCACATGACCAAAGAATGAAGATTGTCTCTTTCTGATGTGGGCAATCAGTTCTCTTTGTAAGTCACTTTCTTTCTAGACATCTTAATTACTATTTTTATCTGTCCAAGGTATTCTCATAATTCGTCTATAAAACCATATCTCCTCAGCTTCCAAATTAATTTTCACTAATTTACTAACTGTCCATGATTCACATCCATATATCAATATAGGATTTATATTACTTTTAAGAATTCTCTTCCTCGTTTATTATTTTTACCCATTTTATAAGAGGTTGGCTGGACCCTAGCCTTGTACTGATTGGAATCAAAGGAAACAAAACTATTCCTGCCTCTGCTGGAATTGAGTCCAGAACACTGTCTGATCAGGTAAACACATGAATCACTAAATAATATGTTTTTTAACTTTTATTAGCAGCAAATTAAAGAAATCTGGCTAAATATTTTAACATGTAATCCGAGCCATATAAATCTGCATACAATTCATTCACAACTGAAGATTAAAACTAAAACTATTTTTTAGTATTCCAGTGAACTAAAATATTCACAGATAACTGGTGGAAAGGATAGCAGACTTCAATTAAATAATAAAAAAATTTCAGACTTGTAGACAAAGAGAAAGCTTTCTATTAAGTTAACAGGAACAAATTATGGAAAGTACCATAAGATTAAATGAATATCTTATTAAATTGTGCAAGAGTTTATATGTGGACCGTCAATGCACAGTTAGAACAAACATAGGAATGTCAGAGAAGTTTGACATAAGATCTGAAGTGGGACAGGGGTGTGTTTTATCACCACTACTGTTCACATTTATCAAACAAATCTGCAAATCAGCTAAAACGAGCGAAGGGGACAACACTGAAGTATTACTTAATGAACTGCTTTTTTTACTTAATGATTAGATAATTAAAGCATCAACAGAAAATAACTACAAGAACATATTAATAGATTCCACTCAGCTTATGACAACTGTGATACGAAGATCAATGGAGACAAGACAGAAGTGACAAAATTCTCCAGAAAAGGAAGAACCACCAATATCAAAATTGATAATCATCACTTAAAACAGGCAAAGGACTTTACGTATCTAGGCAGCATCTTTTCAGAAAATTATGGAATGAATAAAGAAATACAACAAAGCCAAACAAGTTATAGGACAAATGGCACGAATACTGAAATCCAAGAATATGAAAACAACACTCAAAGAGCACTTTTCAATACAAAATTCTTACCAATACTATGCTACGAGTGTCAAACATTAACGTGGTCTTCAGAAGACAGAAGAAAAATAGTAAGGACAGAAATAAGGTTTAGGTATTATGCTAAGTGTAACAAGGAAAGATCGACGTAGGAACGATGATATCAGGAGGAGAGTCGGCACAGAACAAACCATTATCAGGTGCCTTGCCGAGTGGCATTGGCGATCATGCCTCTCCAAAACCTGCGATCCACAACGGAATGTATCAGTTCGTGTGTTGACACAATTTCGTGCCATGACAAAATTCTGTCGAGAATTTTCTCATGCTGTCATCTTCTCTCTCTTTCCACAGATCGATCCAGTGGTCACAACATGTTCTATTTTCCCTCTTCTTAAACCTTGACCACAAAATGATGACCGTCTCTTTCTGATGTTTGTGATAAGTTGTCTACGAGCACCTGCCTCTTTCAAAACATCTGAGTTACTCCTCTTAGCTGTTCAAGGAATTCTAAGGATCCTTCTGTAAAACCGAATCTCCGAGGCCTCAAGATATTGTTCGGCCTGTTTATTAATAGTTCAGAACTAATGCTATGAATCCTGGACAATTAATAATTCAAATAAGAACAAGAATAATACAGAACTAATACTGAACTTTACTGGCAGACAATGGATCAAATGGTTTGGCCAGGTTCACAAGACTGGAAAAAGAAAGGACATCACAGAGAGCAATGTTAAACAAATACAGCAGTCACAGAGCGAGAAGTCGACCACAGAAATATCAGAGACAAGGAAAAGTATTATATACAAGGTGAACAGAAGGGCCCGTTCCAGAGATCTCTTCTTTCCCTGATGTCCGAGGCATTCCTGGAATAGAAAAACCAAAAACAAAAACAGTCAACCACCAATAGCCAGTATTTCCCAGCTGGCCTACCTGATGAATTCATCTGTCCACAAGTGTGATCTTTGAGCTGGCACATCTGGCAAGTGAAGCAATGAACACGTGAAGGTTTCACACACCTCATACACATATCACAGTGAACATATCTTGTACCATCCTGGAAAAGAAACAATATTCGTAACATCAACATGGTAAAGTACTCTGTCAGACTGAATGACTTTTTAATCACACAAGTGATAAACACCCGGTGACACAAAATGCCATCATGCAAATGAGGATCACCCATGAAGAGGTCCCAGAAACCCTTTTCAGCCGTTAGGCCATATCTATGCCCCAGCTGTATTCAGGGCCCCCGGCAGAAGCTAGGGTGGAGCTTAAAATAAGGAAAAATTGTATTCCACATTGGGATGACTGATAACAATAATCTTATCGTATCGTATCGTATAAAATCAAACAAAAATTCCAAGCTTAGTCCTTTTTTAGCCGCCTGATGGCCTGCTTTTTCAAGGACGGTTCCTTTGCTATCTTATTTATTTATCTTCCTTGTGGTGAGCACTTTCACCTGAGTTTGTTCATTTATTGCCTAAGTTCTGGTTCTGAGGGGCCTTGTTCCTGTTTAATTGGCTATTCGCTAGCTTTTGCACTGTTCATCTGTGTTAGCACCAAGTAAGTTCAAGTCACACCGCCACGAAGCAAACAGTTCCGCATACTGAGCGCCCTAAAACACGGCCCCCACAGGACGACTGTCACAATCTTGTTGTTGTGTGCAGCCGTTAGATAAGTAGAGGAGGTAACAAAGGTTGCAAAAAATTTAGAACGCCCGAAGGTGCAAAGATATTGTATAGCTAGGTCGGAAGATGGAGAGAGACAGATAGCTTGCTAGGTTGAGGAAGAGGTCCTTGGTGAGTTGAGTCCTGCACACTGCCTGCTCTGCCTGGGTAGATCTGAAAATAGACTGATTTACATTTTAGATATATGTGGGGAGGGACGGGTGAAGTTATCAGGGAAGCGTGGTAGCCTGGAATTCCACAAGTGCTGGTCCCCTTATTGTGCAATGCCCTTTTAGCTGGTTTGCCTCAGAGCGTCGGGTGGCCTTTGGTGGGTTTCCTCGGTTTTTAGCTGAAAATGAGTTTATTAACATTGAAACATATGTGGGAGGGGCGGGGAGTTTACAAAATGAAATGCATAACAGACTGAAATCCACGAGTGCTGGTCCCCTTCTTGTGCTATGCCCTTTAGCTGGTTTGCCTCGGAGCGTCGGGTGGCCTTTGGTGGGTTCGGTCATATTATTCTTTCTGAAAATATACTATAAGAAATTATGTTAGTTGAATTTTTTAGTCTGGTTGATTCGCCTGTGGTTGAGAAGGAGTGGAAGTGGTACAGGCTGAGGGGCAGGAATGTCTTTGAGAGGACAACAGTGAGGTCGGAAGAGTGAGTGAGAGGTAAGGTTGCCTCTGTTGTGGGTGCTGGTACTCGCTGGATCTGGTCACATCATGATGAGGGGTGGCTCTCAGATCGCTTTCCCGGTTCTGGATATGAACTGCTTCACGAGTCGCTGGACCTTGTCATCGCAGCTTACACTGAGGCAGTTTTCAGTTGTCATAGGTTGGTTTGAGGCTCTGAATTGCAGCACGAGCTTTTGTCTCTCTATTTCGTGGTGTTTACAGTTTAGTAGGAAGTGCTCCATGGAGTTAGGGGCCCTGCATTCCTCGCACACAGGAGTGCGGAATCGGTCTGGCCAGCACCCTAGTCGCATCTTCCACAGTTTTCGAATGGCCGGAATTTTGGTCAGTTTAGTCTCTTGATTCTTGAGACTGGGTTTGTTGAGTAGTTTGTAGGCAGCTCTGCCTTTGTCGCTGGTCGACCACTGTTGGGACCATTCTCTGCATATTCTGCTTTTGATAGTCGCTTTTAGTTCAGTTTTGCCCAGTCCCGCGAATATTGTGTTGTGGCTAACCGTGCCTCTCTTCGCCGCTCTGTCTGCTGCTTCATTGCCCTCAATGCCTATGTGTGCTGGGATCCAACCAATGGTGGTTTGGCATCCCAGGCTTCTGAGTCGGGTGGAAATTGTCAGGATTTCCTCTTTGATGTCTTGTCGGCTCACTTTCGAAAAGTCCCTCAGGGCTTGTACTGCTGATAGTGAGTCAGAAAGGACGAGGAGTCTTTTGACAGCAAGTCTTAGTATACTGTGTACCACTTAAAGTGGTTTATGGTTAACAATTTTGCTGCCCAAAACCATTTAGGTATTTATAATATTATCTGCAAGCCATACAAAATTATCGGCTGAACAAATTAGTCCGTTATATACGTTATATATGGTCAAACATTTTAGCCGAGCTGCCTTGTTAGGACCACAACAAATGATTTTGTGGGCCTTATATTGCCAAAACAAATGATTTTGTGGCCCTTATATGGCCCATGGCCAGAACAAATGATTGAGATAAGAAAGTTTATGAATAAGGGACATAGATAATAATTTTCAGAAGTGCACACAAAAAAATCAAACTGGAAAAATGTAATGATAAAGTGTGAAACCAACAAGATAGCTGCAATGTTGATATTTACTGAATAAGGAGACATATTTATACAGTGAGAACAACAGCATGATATCACTTTTGGAAACGTGTGGTATCTGCAACATCACAGAAGACCACGGACATGACAGAATAGTGCCAATCAGTGACAATACTGACTGCCCCTTAATGACAGATTTAGAAATGTGTGTTTTTTTTCAATTCCAAAGCTATATCAAATGCAGACTTCTAAAGTGATATTAGATTGGTTATTTGATAAAAACTAAAGTTAGAAAACCTCAGGTATAGGTACACATGAGCATAGAAAAAAGCATTTTCTTTTTAGGCATTACATTGTTCAGTGATCAGTGATTTTGTAACAGACACTTTATGGTGAGTGGCCAGAACACCTTTTAGATACTTTGTGGTAGATGCCAAAAGTTGGGGGTGGGGGGTATCAGAAACATTAAACTAGATGTGAGCGTATTAAAAAATGCAAACATAAATTTTTAAAAAAAATTTTAAACTTTGAAATAAAGTACAGCACTGATCCGCTTTCCTTTCTAGAAATTAGTATTTAAGGTGTTACTGACCAATAACAAAATACTGACACACTCTTGTCAGACAACCTGCGGAAGCAAGTATTTTAAAACTGAAGCCACAGGAAATGAATAACTGAAAACGTCTTAAACTAAAGAGGGAAAGAAGAAAGACATGACAAACTCACCTTAGATGTGCAAGCTCCACACTCTGAGCAGTGCCAGTTTTCCTTTGAAGAAAAACGCTGGCAAGACTTGCAGAACCTCAATAACAAACACAGCGAAATTAGTACATCATTCTAAACCAAGTAATTCATCAAGTTCAAGCTCAGTGACAGAGTCAGATTAGCACATCAGGTTCTTTCTTAATATCCTACCCCGGATGACATCACAGGACAGTACAATATTTTAGAGGGTGGTAAGACTGGGTTTTCCGGCTTTCTTATGCTTTAAACGGCCCCAAAAAATAAAGAACAGGCCCTAACCCCAACCCACCCACGTCCCACGAGAGAGTACTGCCTAGGTCTCAAGATTGCTTGCAGCCTATCAATTTAGTATCATTTAGGCTGGGTCGACATGGAAGCCAAGGTAATTTTTGAAAGCAAGCCCCATCTTCTTTCAAATTTGAACCCATGACCTTTGGTTCCGCAAGTGTGAGTGTAGTCACTACACCATGGCGGCTCCCAGGTCAAGTATGTGTCAGCAGATAATTTTTGGGGTCAAAGGGAGGTAAGCCAGTTAATTATCTGCTGCATTCAGATTTAATGATTACTCTAATTATGTTGCAGAACCAATCCCAGCATTTTTTGGCTGTTGTGGTTTGTCTAGGCATATTTTATATTCAATAGTTTGCCACTGCTTTTTTAAGTGGTCAGCTCTCTGTAACACTTCAAAACCAACGCAAGACAAAACATCCGCAGCTGGGATGGAACTCGACATCTGGGTATTACAAAGCACATTCGCAACGCCTTAGCCACAGATGCCAAGAAATGGAACTGTAAAGATTTGTTTGATGTGTGCATTTTTTTTTGCTTTTTAAATTATTTTTTGGGGAATTCCTGAAATACATGTCAGTCGCATTGTTTTTTCTAGGTCACTGAGATCAAAGGTAAATATGCTAACTTGTTCATGGCTAATCACCAAAACCATCCTTTTCCTTAAATAGTGTAGATAAGTTCACCTACCAATAGCCTTGGTCTTGCGGTAAGGAGAACTCAGTCTGGGCAATGTTGGTGAATATCCTAACTGGCGATCCTTTCTTCTTGTGCTGGTTGTTAAACAGTACATGGTTTTCATAATCCACCTGCAAATATGTAAACACAATTAACATAGTGTCACCATCTGAATGATGTGTATAACATTAGCTGACTGATATATATAACTTCTTTTGTCCTAATGCTTTTAATTTTGCAAAGCCTCGCAGAGAGAACATGAATGTAGCTTCCAGTGTTTTTGCTATTGCATTTCTGTAGTGTCTCTTACTTGCTTGACTCATCTCTTTCTTCGTCGGCCTCCTGTTCTCATGTAGTATGTTCTAGCTGCTGGCTGATTGTTGTTCCATTCTGGCCACACGAACAAACCATTTAATTCTTTGATGTTCTATGAAATCATTCACTGGTACTGTGCGCACTATGTTCTTAGTTCTTTGTTGGTGACCACCACATTATTTTATACAACTCATCTCACAAGTCATTTTGCATTTATGTTTTTCTATAAATGTCTAAATCTGGCATTGATAGCATAAACTTAGTATTAACAGGACATTTCTAAGCTGCTTTTGTGTGTGCCTGGTTGATATTTTGATGCTTCAAAAGTGGCAATATTTGGTTTATGTTGTTTGCCTTCTGTATTATGTTTTTTTCCCTCTGCCTTGGTACTTTAACTCCTTAGCTTGTTTAAATGTCTCCAATTCAACAGTGATGATTTGTTGAAGTGGTATTCTATATGCTGTCATTATTTCTGTGGAGAGGGTGGGTGTTCAGTATTTACTTTCACATTATATTTCCTGCAACAGGGGTTCAGGCTGTTTATATGGTGTTGGAGGTTATCCTTAATCTTTGTACAAGAGGGCATGATCGTTAACAAATACTGACTCATTTAAATCTTCCAACTGGGAGTTTGTATTTTAATAAACAAGAGTGGTGACAGTTAAACCCTTGTCAAACCCTAGATGAAACACTGACCATAGCTTGTCTCTGAGGGCCATTAGATTTTATTACATGGCAGTACCATTGTCCATTTGTTACAATATTTTTAAAAAAAATGACAAAGGATGTTTTTATGTTTACTGTTTGGATTCATAGATATATGTTAAAATTGCTTTCTAGTAATATAAAAGAATTTGTTATCTAACCTCTGATCACTAAAATTTATCTGCATAAGATTTTCTATATTTTAAACACAAACATTCTTCATATCAGACAAACACACAACTTTGTATAAGGTTGATGGAACCGCTATCAACTTTGACTATAACAACACTTTACTTTGTAATCCAACATGGACATCTCCGGAAGCTGAGAAGTGATTCTGTTCTCCATGAAGTAAGGAAAAAACCAGATCAGTGGCAACAGTTTACCTGCGCAAAAATCAGTGGAAAAGAAACAAATTTGTGAAACATACTCGCAAGAGAATTCTCAGCATTATAAAAATCCTATCCTGACATAGTGAAAAATTATGTAAAAGTGATGAAGATGTGGTTTTATAGACAAATGATGAGAACACCCTAGAAACATTTAAAAAAAAAAAAAAACAATGAAAATGTCTTGAAAGATATTAATTTTTAAAGAGAACTGATAGCCCACATCAAAATGAGATTCTTTTCTTTCTCTCTTTCTGTTTAGCGGCTGTGAATTCCAATGGAAAGTCTTGGTTGTTCGTCCATTTGAACTTTGGTTTTGTTCCAGGACCTTTGTCCCTTTATCTACAAATGTTGTCCCTGGAGACCTCATCCAGAGCAATCCGGTGTAGGCTGGTCAGCCCTTGAGGGAAGACAGGGGTAGATCATGGACATTCTCCACCATCCAAGGAGGCCTCCATAAATATAGAACTGATTCATAATGCTCTGGTCCTGGGCTCACCCAAGGAATCATCTCATCCAGCACACCCTGCAACCCTATGTTGAGCATTCCACTTGTCACAGGCTGCAACCTCTCGAGATCATCAAGGAGCAGCCTGTAGTCCCAAACACTGATGACCACACTATTAGGCACAACGTTGTTTCAACTGTACACTTAGCACAACAGTATCAAAAAGCATGCATAGGGCATGGCTACACCTGTTTGGCCCCGACATTCAGGTGAGTGGGGCCTTTGGTGACGAACATCTGAAATTTTTCACCAATCAGTAGGAATTTTGACTGTCGGACATTTGAGATTTTTGCTTGCCTGCCACAGGACGTATATTTGTCACACATTTGAGTCTAACGAGCAGTCTTACAGTGGCTGTTGTGATGTACCTCAACGAGACAGGATTTTAGCCTGAGAAGCCACCCACAGGAGATATTGCTCGTCTAAGCTGCAAACAAATCTTTTAGTTCAGGGCTGAGTCTCAGCGGTTCAGTTGTTCTTTCGATCGACAGACTTTTAACCGAGAGTTGTCATTTAGTGGTATATTCAGAAAGAGGGCTCTACCAATGTTCCAATGCAAGGACGTGCAGGAGGGATTTTGCATGAGGTTCAATCACAACAGCACAGATAAGGTTGGCGCCCAAGGTGAGATATGGAGAATCTCTTTAGTCACATCACATCAGACTTAACTTTCCCTCACACCCGGGACAAAAATCACTGTGCGACAAAAGGAGATAATCTACATTCTTTAGTTTTGTCAAGAGAAGGAGAAAACGAATACATCACGATGGTGGGGAAATTGGAGGGACAAGAGGCAGAGGGAGACAGAGGGTGCTGGACAGTCTGACATCACGGCATAGAAGATCATCTAAACCAGAACCGGTTGAAAGTACACAAGACAGAAGGCTGTGGATAGACATGACTACCAACGCCATCTGGCATGGATTATATGAAAAAGAATATATATTTCTGATTATGATGACTAAATGTGTAGCATAAAGTATATTTAGACACATTACTGAAAGGTTATGTACAGTCCATTATTATGACTGAGAATTCTGGATAATGAGAGTCGAAGTCGAGCGGATCGACTTCATTGCACCTGGTTTTTTCCTATGTGGCTCAATCTCTCTACATAGAATAGAGAGAATGTAAGCTGTCTGGTGATTTGTCATACAGAGCATGAACTTTGTAGCTGAAGCTACTATCCCTGTAAAAACTGCACTCATTAATCAAATTACATGAACCCATGACCTTCAGAGTGTGTGGTAAATAGCTTATCCACTTTGCCACACAGAACCCTTCTGGATAATGAGGAATCACATGGTAAATAAACCACGGGTAAAAACGATAAGATTTGTTACAATAAATTAATGAATGAAAAAGTGACAACTCTGCACTCTGGGCATTCCGCACACATGCTCTTTTCACTTCTTTAGTCTTCTTCTTCTTCTTATATTCTTTGCAGTGTTGCATTGGAAGTCAAGTCTATTCATAACCTTTTGTCTCAAGCACTTTCAATCATTTCTGACAGAGATGATCTTCCATGGCCTTCTTCAGACTTTTTCCCCCTCTAATTTTCCCCCCATCATCAATTTTATTTGGGAATTCACAAACCAATCCTTAAAAAATACACATCAGTGAAAAACATTTTAGAAATTATTTATACAAATAGTTTTTTTAAGGTCTACAAATAAATGCAGAGCAGTAATCAATAATGCAGAATTAAACACAATTACCTCCTCTGGCCTAACATAAACAAAATTCAAATTTATGATCTCTGACCATGATTATCCAAAGCTTAATGAGAATTATGAGGTTTTTATGACATCATTCTGCGTTTGAAAAAGCCATTTATTTTCACAATGACTACACTACCCACTCTCCACCCCCAATTTCTCCAAATGCTATTTTTAGTAAATATAATCAGAACCAGGGTTCTTAAACAATGAGCAGGAGCAAACAGAACCAATGCCATTATGAGCCTTCTCCAGGACTCACTGAAGCAGGAATGCTGGTTAAGCGGTTTCTCAGGGATTTGTAATGGGCAGAGATGCCGGGTTGGTGGCTTCTCTGGGCCAAAGGGTTAACTGATTTCAGTGAAACAAGAGGTGAAGAAAATATGCTGGCATTGGAAAAATACATTCTGAGAAATATGATAACAGTATAAACAGAAAGTCTTTGCACTGGTATCCACAGGAACAAAGGAGTAAAAGCAGACCAAAAAAACACAGTGAACTAGAGAGTGAAGCAAAAAGATCGGGAGGGCATAGGATGAGCTGCATGCAATAGCAAAGAATAAAACAACTTATTGTCAGTTAGTTGAAGTGCTATGCACCATCAGGAGATAAAGGCCAGAAGTAAAAGAAGAATAAGAAAAAGAAAAGAAGAGAAAGAAAAAAAGCACAATTTAAAAAAAAAACTTCCTATCTTTCTAGAAGATATTTATTTGTTTAGTAGGTTAATAAGAATTATATTTAGCCAATGTGTTCACAGGTTTTTTTTTTCTTTTTACCTTTGACATTGGCCAAATCTGATGACTGTTTTGCAGCAGACGTGACCCACATGTCTGACAGCTTTGTAAAAGTGGCTACCAGAGCCTCCACCATCCCTCCAAAAGGTGGATCTGTGACCATGACAACACGACTACCTCCCTCAGACAGAAACTTCAGTAATCTGCTCTTGCTCCTTGTCTCAAAGAAATGCTGGTTAAACATGTTGTACTTGATGTAGAGTGAAGGAGGATAAACTTGGGCCTGCATGGGGGAAAAAAATGGTTTCACAACATTGTAAAATAGAGAACACAAAAGACCTTTTTAGTGACTTATGGCAAGTTGAATTGCTACCTCCCAGTAGCCTTGGAGGGAAGAAGAGGCAGAGGGAGACCAAGAGAACAGATGCTGAACGATTTGACATTATGGCAGAAAAGATCATCTGTGTGACAGCTGATTGAAAGTACACTAGATAGAAGGTTGTGGATAGACGTGACTACCAATGCCATGTGGCAAGGGCTTTCAGAAGAAGAAGTAGCCTTGCAGAGACGTTGATTCTGAAAACATAACATATGACAAGCATCTTCCACAATAATTATATGAGATTTTAGGACCAATGCTGCCATCACTTATAATTGACATGGCTTTTCTCAGATTCTCTGTTATCCATTTCTAATAAGTCCATATTTCCCCCTTCATGCAATGTGATCCATGGCATCCGGTTCCCATGAATCTAAACCAATACCTGTATCATTCATGTCTCATCTACACACATCCTTAAATCATAGCAAAAGGCCAACCCCACAATTTTCTTCTTCGCAAAGCCCATGCCATGTGGCGTTGGTAGTCATGTCTATCCACAACCTTTTTATAAACTTTGACACAGATGATCCTCAATGTCATGATGTTGAACTACAGCATCTGTTCTGTCGGTCTCCCTCTGCCTCCCCTCCCCTCCCCTCCAACTTTCCTACAGTCACGATGTACTGAAGTTTTCTCCTTCTCACACCAGTTTTCTCCTTCTCACCACATGACCAAAGAATGTAGATTGTTTCTTTCTGATGTCGGCAATCTTTGTGAGTCAGTTTTTTCAAGCTGTCTTCATTAATCTTTTTATTTGTCTAGGCGGGGTTCACCTAGACCCTAGGAAATAGGTAACAGAGTTGAGACTCTGGGGTAAATAGAGGAACATTGCTGCAGCTACGGAGTTTCATGCAGATAGGGATACAGGCGGACAGTTTTCTTATCAGCTGTCCGTACTGGTGGCAGAGCACTTATGCTTTATAACCCTGTGCAATGACGCTGGTTCACATCTACCGACTTATCTACCTTTAATCTCTCCAGGGTATTCTCATCATTCGTTTATAAAACCACATTTCGGCAGCTTCCAAATTAAGTTTTCACTAATTTACCAACTGTCTTTGATTCACTTCCATATATATTGAGATGTCAGCATATGTGGCTTAGGCGTTGCAAACGAACCTCGTAATGCCAGGGGCACCCCAGCTGCGAGCCTTGCATTGGTTTCAACAGCGGTATCGAGAAGCTGACCGTTCAGAAAGCAATGGCAAACTACTGGACGTAAATTTGCCAAGAAAAACCACAACAAATGCTGGGGTTGGTTCTGCAACATCTTGTAAAGGATATGCAACTAACATCTATCAAGATAAAATTTATATAAAATATTCTACCCCTCTGTAATTCACCAAATAGGATGTCCTTCAGAACTCTACCATCTGCAAGTGTGTCCTAGCTATTTGAACATGAGTTTAGATATAAGTAAGTAAAGGACCGGTTTCCACACCTTGAGATGTAGTGGGCATATTGTGCTAGCACACAGAAGGACCTAAACGGTGACTGTTTATGACCTGCTTGTTAGAAGGACCTAAAGGGTCACTGTTTAGGACCTGCTTGTTAGAAGGCAATGGGTCTATCCCATACCCTCCTTTTTCATAATGAGGTCCTGGGCTCATGTAGAGAAACAAAACAAGGGTACCACTCCATTTTTTGAAATTGTAACATAACAATAAAAACAAAACAAGGGTACCACTCCATTTTTTTTAAATTTAAAGATAACAATAAAAACAAAACAAAGGTACCACTCCATTTTTTTCAAATTTTAAGATAAAAAAAAAAGGGTACCACTCCATTTTTTTTAAATATTAAGATAACAATAAGAATGTAGCTGTAAATTTATGGTTTCAAATGAAAAATAAACATGCAATGATTTACAAACATCAGCTTACATATCGCTCATCTAGATCAAGTAACAATGAAGTCACATTTCTGCCAGATTTTTTACAAAACTGCACTTCTTCATGGATCCTGAAAGAAAACAATTTTTTTATTTTAATTATACAGCAGATATTTATGTTTTTAAAAAAACTGCAGTCATGAAACCTAGAAATGCACATGATTCAGTCATCTGTATGACACAGTCATCTGTAAGACACAGTCATCTGTAAGACACAGTCATCTGTATAAAACAGAGTTTAAACAACTACTGTATAGTAGCCATTTGTTCATTGCCTGAACAAGCCAACAGCCTCTGTTATGTGTGACTACAAAATGAACATTTGCAGAATAAACCAAGGAAAGCACAACCAAAAATTGCAGCCAATCAGATGACATCACAGTGAAAGCTGGCTGCAACAGATCTCCAACACACTCTGTCATTCTGTTAACAAACCTAACAGAAAACTGGCATCAGAATATCAACAAAGATAAAATATGCGGAGGAGTGTTTATATACTTATGAAAGGCCTTTTGCTTGATACAACATACTATTCTTATCGAGAAAATTAGTAACAATAAAATTAAGTTCCAACAGTTATCCAGGATCCTATTCTTGGCTCCCTTTTATTTGCAATTAATACAAATGATTTGCACTTATGTTTGTCGCCTCAGTGTGATTTATTTGCAGATGACTGTACCATCTATACAAATGCTCAAACATGTAATGTACTACTGCAGTCTTTGCAACAAGAATTTATCAATGTAGTCAGGAGCTATGCAAACCGTATGCAAGTTAGCATAACTAAGTCAAAATCTATGTTAATAACAACTAGGCAAAAACTGTACACTTTAAATTCACATATAACCCTTTAACTCTACATCAGTAACACCTCAGTGGAAAGAATAACTGAAAACTGATGAAGTTTTAGGCTTGATTATCGACATAAATCTTACCCTCAGCTCTCACGTGCAAGCACTTGTTAAACAAACAACTACAAAAGTATACCAACTAGCAACAACCACACACACAAAAACTTTCTGAATGAAAACATTAGGAGTGTACTCTACACTTCTCATATTCAGACCCATGTAGACTATTGCTCCACAATATGGGATGGATGTGCAAATTCAGTCCTCAAACATTACCACTGTGCTAGGATAGTTCCCCACTGATCCTTCCCAGTGTGATGAATACTTTTATATCCCCCAAATGCAAAAGTTGCGCCAGCGGTGCTGGCTATATTTTCTACACCCAAACATATCCACCCAGGGAAAGAAGGTGGTGGCTGGAGTGCTGACAAGTCAGACGCACTATAGTGCCTTTACAGAAAGGAAACATTACAAACTAGATTTAATTGCCCAGCCTCACTAGGGATAGAGAAAGAAAAGTCTACTCCATCTTTGCCTCCACTGATACTGCATATATAGTAGAAACACCACGATGCAGTGAACACAACAGTAGCCTTCTATATGTTGTGGCCGCTTTACATTCCTTGCATGTGGATACTGCCATGTGTTCAGTCATTGCCCTGAGTGCACCCAAGGCTTCTTACCGTTCCCTGGCCTGTTCCACCACCCGACAAACTTGAACGACAAATCTATGGTCCCATTCTTCCCTTATTTTAATTAACCAATTTTTTTGATATTTTTTTTTTAAAGAAGACTAACGCAAAACAATAATATATTTCAGGTTAGAGCTCTAAATACAGGGTTCACCAACCATGCTTCTGTATTAAACAAAAAACAGGATACCGCAGAATGCATCTAAACACACCTAACTGCAATTTTAAGACTTTTAATTGTATGTAATTTGTCCTTTGATGGTGTGTTTGCTGTAGTATGTTTTCACAGTAGCATGCTGCAGAACAGGTTGGTACGGAGAGCAGTTGTTGCCGTCTGCTAAATCATTGCGGCAGTTGGACACACGGTTGTGGTGGGGATTCATTTAGATGGAACAGCTGTACAATAGATTAAGCGTTTTCGTCTGCTGCCTTTAAAATTTTGATTCCATCTCCTTAGCAGTCCGTAAGGAAAGTCAAAATTTTTTTTTTACGCCCATAGCAGTGAGGGCACATGACAGAAAGGGAAGACGCAGATAAATGTCCTTAGCAGCATTCTGGGCAAACATATAAATTACATCCATAGCAGCGAAAGGGTTAACACTTAGTCTGTGTGAAATTTTGTATTATTAACTATGAAATGATGTACAAATGAATAACTGTATGCAAGGAGTGGGCTGGAAGGGCAAAATGTTAGACAGGCCTGTGAGCCCAATACTTAACCCTTTAAAAAAAAAGTTTGTTTGTTCGTTCTGTCTCTCATCCTGGCTGAACACACTCTCTGAGACTGCTGCTCATCTATCTCTTGATATTATTGTCCTGCTATTTACCTCTTGCCTTCAGCTTCTCCCTCCGGTATGGTTTTTATAAGGGTGACATGTCTTTTAATCTAGCTGAGATATTCCATGTCTCTCTTTTTTTAAACCCTCTCTTTTCATTACTAGTCTAAACAGAACTGCTATACTTGATTTTAAATGTATAGATCTCTGTTAATTTTTTTCCTCAAGTCATATAATAATTAACTACATAAATCAATAGATCTCTACACCTGATTATAAATGTTTAGATTTCTGTTTAGGTTTTCCTCAAGTCACACAATAATTAACTACATAAATCAATAGATCTCTACACCTGATTATAAATGTTTAGATTTCTGTTTACAACACACCCTAAATCAAAGGCAGTATAAATGTTTAGATTTCTGTTTAGGTTTTCCTCAAGTCACACAATAATTAACTACATAAATCAATAGATCTACAACCACAGTAAGTTTATCAACCATTTACATTGTTATTTTCAGCAACACCACAATGTCAGAATATTCATTCATTCAGTCTCCACCAGAAGACAATAAAAAAGGTATAATCAACTGATAGCGGGATAAATAAAATATAACTGCAAGCAAGAGCCTCATCAAGATTATCAGTAAAAATGTCCAAATCCAAACAGTGAGAGTATTACCTTGGGGCTCCGACACAAAGTATGTGTGTGTAACCAAGACGTTCAACTGTGTCAATCAAGAATGACACTGTGGACTTTGCAAAAAGGTATTGCTGAAAAGAAACCAGCAAGAAGATTTAAAATTAATTAAAGATCTTCTCCACTGCGTGCAACATCAGCCATGCTAAACCATCAGTTCTGCCTGGGACATAAACTGAAGGTGCATCTGAGTTTGCTGCTCCAACACAAAGTATGTGTGTGTAACCAAGACGCTCAACTGTGTCAATCAAGAATGACACTGTGGACTTTGCAAAAAGGTATTGCTGAAAAGAAACCAGCAAGAAGATTTAAAATTAATTAAAGACCATTCTTCTTTATCTTCTCCATCCTCTGCGTGCAACATCAGCCATGCTAAACCTTCAGTTCTGCCTGGGACATAAACTGAAGGTGCATCTGAGTTTCGCTGCTGCCCCCCCCCCCCCCCCCCACAGCTTGTTTAGTGATGTGTCTCTGTTGGGCCAGATAACTTGTTTGTCCCCTTCTGGACATTGGTCTTGTTCCAGTTCTTGAGTTTTGTGTGCACATCCGCTCAACAGATCTGGATTATTTGTATGCAAACTGTTGGCTCCTCACCTCTTAGGTGGATGTACTCTGACTTTAGAGGGGGCTGAGTGGTCTCAAGGTGTGGAGTCCGCCTCGAGTGCTCAAGGTCCCGGATTCAAACCCTGGTGAAGGCTGGGATTTTTTCACGTGGACTTCCAGTAATTTTCACTGGTCTCTGGGTAGTAAGACCGGATGCCTATGTGTATTGTTGCACACGTAAAAGATACCTTGGCAGTTGATTAATCAGACATCTTGTGCTCTAGATGAAATGTACATGTCTGGTTGTCCAGATTGCACCAAGTCCACCAACCTGGACAAGGATACTCAGTTCTGTTTGTTGTCATGATCTTCTTTGTGATATCATACTGTTAATGACATCATTTCTGTCCAGTGCCAAACCGTTAGTGGTAACTGCCTTGTCCACCAGTTAATCTGGATGCTCACTGCCATGAACACCAGCATAGCCTGACACAAAGACAAAAGTTAGGTAAGTTATTTGTGAAGTATTTAATGAGAGAATCCATTCTTGTCTGATGAAGTTGGCCTTGATTTTCTTGAGCATATTCATTGGGTCGCTTAATATGTGTGCATGTGTGAACTCTTGAGTACCCATGAACAGTGAAAATGATCCTTCACAAAACAAGTTACATCAGAAAAGAAATGATTCAAAGAACTTACTGCATAAGTCTTGTTATCATCCAGAGGCTGGAAGAGGGAAGTTGGGTGTTTCAGCTCTTTAAGCCCCACTTGATGTCTCAGACTATGTTTTTGACTCAAATGCTGGGATGATTCTTCTTGCAACAGCAAAAGGCCACAGGTGCAGCAAACACTACGGAGCTCACGAGAGAGTTTCTTGAATTCAAAATATCTGGAGCAATAAAATATATAAATAAGCAACAACGTAGTAAAACAAAACTAGAAAAGGTCATGTGAAAAATGAAAGACTAGACAAACTGTTAAAAAATACTCATTATTATTTTCACTGAGAGGAAAAAAAACCAGAAATGGTTCGGCCATCTTGTCAGAATGATTCCAACAAAGCCAGTAGACAGAGCATACAACAAGAGAATAAAAACACCAAGAGGCAGAGGGAGACCTTACAAGAAAATGGACTGAAGGAGTCACTGAGAACTTAAGACCTTACAATACATCAAACAATCACACCTTACAGTATATCAAACAACGGAGTTCACACAAGCTCTGCTATATATATCATCTACTGAACTGAGATCAGCATAAAGCAGATACTGACAAAAGAAGAAGCAGAAAGTGAAACAAGTTAAAAGTTCAATTATTTAGGCAGCCTTTTCACAGAGGATTGATGATTCAACAGCAGAAGTTAAATGATAAAATGTACATTTTTTCCATGACTTTAAAAAAAACTTGGTCTTTATCAACATTTCACTAGAGTAACCTTGTTGCATGAGATGATATGCTTGAAAAAACTTCTAAGCCATCATTTTTAATAGGATTAAGAAAAAAGTAAAGAACTCTTTTATCCCAGGGTTGTTTCAGTCTGCAGACCAGTCGAAACTCAATGGGTGATGTGGTCAACACTGCCCCAGCTGCCTTTACTTCCCAAAACTTTACCTGGGACTTATTTTAGTCTGGTCAGCCTGTGAGGCTGAACACAAAAAGAGAAAGTGTTATGAATACCAGCATTAGAGAGAAAATCGCTGAAAAAAATACCATGTTTGAATTACAATGACAGGCAAAGAATGAACTGGTTTGGCCATCCAGTGAGAATGCAGCCAGACCAAACTGCATTTAAGATTTCTTACAGCCTAATGTCTGGGAGGAAGACAAGGAAAAGAACCAGAAAGAGATGGATAAATGGTCTAGCTAAAACCTGCAAAAAGATGAACAAATCCACCACCAAAGTCACATGAGAAGCTCAATATAAATACACAAAATGACGACACTGGACTAGAACCTGGTCTCCGTAAGATAAAAGAAAAAAAAAGAAGCATGGGAGGCAAAGGCTATTTCTGACAAAAATCTCACCCAAAGTTGATTTGAACCCAAGACCTTTGGGTTGGTGGGTTTATCCAAGTCCATCTGCTGCACCATCACAGCTGCCAAGGCATTATGAGCCAATTAAAATTATTAAGTTTAAATACTGTTGATTCAAACCGCTGTAATCTGCACTGTAATCAGATGGACAGAGCATTGCTCTTCTGGTCAGGCAACCTCTACCACAAGCTTCAAACCAAATGTATTGGTGTTACCCTTCATTATGATAATAAAAGGCAGGCAGAGACTGGGGGGGGGGGCGCGGGAGAGAGGTGTAAGGATCTTCTGTGTGCTCCTTCCAATGTGCTTTATGTTGGTCTTCATTTCTTTAAGGCTCTCCAGTTTCTTTGAGGTCTTCCCCTTGCTTTCTGTCTATTACATTTCCTCAGCATAGCTATCTGTGGCAGGTGATACCAGGGCATTCTCATCAGATGACCAAACCATCTCATCTGCGGCTCTTTAATAAATTGTATACTGTTTTCTGGCCTAGTCTTTTTCCAATTTCTTCATTTTTTAAATTGAAAACTGCCTACAAAAAAAACTTTTCATTTATAAAAAATTGTCCTCACCTTTTTCGCAAATGTTTATGGCAGTATGGTGGTGCCACTATACTCCTGGTGGACAATGAAGATATCTCAGGATTCTGGTTAGCCCACTGAAAGAAACTGCATGCTTTCTGATCCCTAAATGCTGAACATGCATAAAACTGTCTGGGTTTTTTACTGGCCTGATCAAAGCGCTCAAAGAGAAGCGTGGGACCTGAAGACAAACATACATGAATTATTGTTATACTAAATTTTACCCCACACAAAACACAACTAATGTATCATTCAACGCAGTAAGCATTTGTGAAGTGTACTGGCAACAAAGCTGCTTGCCGCAGTAAATAACAGGGTTAAATTTGTATCTGGTATGAGCCAGGTCTTGTTTTGGTAACCAAAACAGTGTGTATATTTATATCTACCAGACATGATGTCTTGTGAGAAAATTCTAGGCAAGAGAGACAGAGGAAGACAGATAAATAGTATATGGAAAGCTGGACAAAAATTATAATACATGCAACAAGTATCAAATCAAGAAATAACAGAGAAGATTAGAGAGTTAAGAGCCATAGAAATGTATTGAATAGTAAACTCATCTGCGTGTTCAATGGGATCAGGTTCAAATCAGTTAAAGGAAGAATCTGCCTACAACCACAGGTCTTCATAAATATATGGAAATGGAATTGTAGGACTATCAGCACAGGGGGGAAATTAGATATCATCAAGCAAGATATGATAACACATCCTGGAAAGTGTGAGATCAGATGGAAGGAAAGAGGAATTAATGAATGAATGAAAAAGTGTCACCATTGCATTTGGGACATTCCCACATGTGCTATATCCCCTTCTTTAGTAGCCAATGAAGAGTTGTCATGCCAACAGTACCAGTTGCAACCTGATTAAAAGGCCGCTTCTGTTTCCCCCTCAATGCTGAATATCTTGCTGAATCTCTACATACTCCTGTTCGATCAGGGTACAGAAGTTATGATATATCATAAACAAAACTATTTATTTTGGGGCATAAAACCACCATACACACACGAAAAGGGGTCATGAACTGTTATGAATTTACTGAAAAAAAATCTTTTAAAAAATAAACATGTTAAACAGGTCACTAATGCATTTTATTCTATTTTTTTATAAAGAGGTAATCAGTATAACATGAATACAGTGAAACATTAAATGGAATACCATGCAATCCTATTAGTGTCACAGACACTAGCCTAGTCCGTACAGTGTGGATGATATGTGCTCTGTCCATGCTTCTTCCCACATGTGTTGGTGCACTGCTTTCCAGTTAGTCCACTTGTTCATTCTGTTCACACTGGTATGGTCAGGTGCACAGATCCAGCTGAGCAAGTGTGACTACCGAATGCTTTCTACCTGTTCAGAGGGTGTTCTACTTGTGATTCTCTGAAGCATGTTCACAGAGTCTGATTCACATACTTCATGTGTGACAGCTTGTTCTCCGACAATTCTAATATGCTCTTTTGCCCGATCTACTATTCTGTTTATCTCTTTCATTTTGCTTTTTTAATCCATATTTGCCGACTGTGTGATAATCCTCCTGGTTTCCAACTTCACCATTAAAGTCTCCAATTTTGTATTTAATTCAGAGTTTTTACACTTCTTGCGCGCATTATCGAGGTCATTATAAAATGTATTCCTATGTTGCCTTCAAGACTGAGATAGGAGACATTATAACAAACTCCCCAGGGCAACAATCAGTAGAGGTACCTTGGAGTGGCTGCTGCATCAGAGGACTGAGCACACATGGGAATGTCCAGTGTGTATTGAAACTGATTATAATAACAAACATAACATGATTGTTAGGAACACCTGGTATCAACATCAGCTGATCAAATTATGGACACTCAAGCATCATGACAATAATGATGATGAAAATAATATATCAATTCACATGCTGATATATTTTTCAGACCATGACAGGCTGTCAATAACCTTTTCTTGTTTCTTAGTGTGTGTGTTTTTCTTTAACCAATGGCTTGATGTTACAATACATTTTTCTTTATCTATAATGTGGTCTTGATACTGAACAAGCTGTCTGGTGAGTGTCATATGGTCAAGACAATATTGATGAGGTCTACATCCTTGGTAAGCCATGCAAGAGTGAAATAAAAGACACATTACTATGTATCAGCCATGCTGGGTTAAGCCCTATATGTTTATAAGCTAATAGGCACTTGATGGATGATGAGGTCATTATCAAACTAGCTGCCTTTACTCCCCATAACATTTCCTCGTATCCAGAGTCAGTGTTAAAAGTCTGTATAAGCACCAGCAATGGAAATCAAATTCAACATTTCTAGAGTATGTCTCTGGCAACATAGGGATATGAGTACTTGACTATCTCACAGACCTTAAGTAAGAAAATGGGTGCCTTTATGCTGCAATGCTATAGAAAGATTCTCAGAATACCATGGGCAAAGAAGAAAATAAATACAGACATCTTTAAAGATGACATGAAAAATGGGTTCCCTAACTTCTGTGTGTTGTATTTACTTTTATAAAGGTGAACCTTTCCTTCTGTTTAAAGGAGAAGCTTTAACTAACAATATATCAGCTTAATGTTGTTGTGGAGTTTGTACAACTTACTAAGATTGTTCATACAGTTAACAACCCAGGGTTGACCCAGCAGTTAGGTAATGGGTACGAGAGTTAATACTCTTCGGTAAATGGAGGAACATTCCTGTAGCTACAGAGTTGCGCGCAGACAGCGACATTGGTGGACAGTTTCTTATCAGCTGTCCGTACTGGTGGCAGAGCACTTATGGCTCATAACCGTGTGCAATGACGCTGGTTCACATCTCTGGACTTTATTACAACTGACTTGCACTGTAACGTTGCTAAGGAATAAAACCTTTTTTTAATTATATATCCATTTAATGTTGGTGTGGAGTTTGTTCAACTCAGTAAGATTGTTCGTGCAGTTTACAACTGACTTGCACTGTAAGACTGCTAAGCTAAGGAATAAAACCAACTTACCATGAGGACAAGCTGGACTTTCTGTTTCAGTAGGAACTGGAACCAGCTCAACATTTGCTCTGTTAGCGGCCATCTGCCATTTATTTTACATGAAAACTATTTTTAATAAACACATTTGACATTACTGTTTGGCATGTATTTGCTTTTTTCTCATACACATTCACCTCAATATATTTCATTAACTTCAATTAAAACCTGTTTTTAGTCTACGAACACAATATTCTGCTGAGGTATGTTGAGAACTGTCATTGAACCCAGGACATTCCCATAAGTTATAAGTCCCAACCTTAAGCAGCCATGCTTTGTTGCTAGCAACTTTCCATCTTTCCAGATAACAGTATTATACTGTGCTATGAGAATGGGACTCTGGCCTGTAATGATCCACATATTCAAAATTGTGATCCCTCTGTAAACTTAGCTGAATAAGCCCTGACACAGAAGATAGTTGCTGCTATATTCTATAAATAGGATCTTCTTGCACCTTGTCTCTGTGTTTATGAAGCCCAGGGATCTGGCAAAACCTTCACTCAGAGGCACAGCAATACAGATATATCATCAGTACAATGTCAATACTGAAGTAACACTTTATTACTACTAGTGTATCTGTACATTATTTTTTTTTTTTTTTTTTAGTACTGTACTTATGAAATAAATCACTCTCTTTAAACCTCAGAACATGAGTACTGAAATGTTATATCAAGCCTGTTCTGTTGCATGGTAGTGAATCTTGGAATGTGAGCAAACATGAACAAAATAAGAAGAGTTTGATGGCAACTTAGATGTGGTTCTTGACAAGACTGGGAGTCGCCGTGGCCGAGCGGCTAGACGTGTGCCGTGGATCAGACGGTCGTGGGTTCGCTTCCTGGTGGAGCCGGACTTTTCTTAAAAAATGACCTTGGCTCCCAGGTAGACCCAGCCTTGAGTGGGTACCAGGTGCAGTCCCGGAAAGTAGAGGCGCCCGGCGTGATGCTGACCACATCACCCATCTTGTGCCGTTGGTCTATAAAAATATAGGTCTAGCCCTATATGCCTAAAGGCATGGAAAAGGGTCCTTTACTTTTACTTACTTGAAAAGACTGTTGCTTGGACTGCCAGAATAACTAACAATGATTTCTTTAAAATGGCTAATTATCAAAGTAGACAATCATAGACAACAATGAGGAGTCAAAGTTCTTTGGTCATGTGAAGAGACAAGGAGCACTGGAAAATATAGAGACGACTGGAATGATCACTGGTAGAAGAGGTAGAGGCAGACCAAGAAAAATGATGGTGGGTGGGTTAGGTTAAGACAGTGGCATGGAGGAATATCTATCAGTGGACTTGATCATGATGAACACCAAAGACCAAGATCTGTGGAGATGCATGAACTCCTTCTCCAGCTGACAAGGCCAAGGCACTTAATGATGATACTTACTGTACCATCGGAGCTGCAGAACGCCTTGCGTCAGTTTTGACAATGGTGTCAAATTTGACGGCCGTCTGTCCAAGGCAAAGTACTAAATGTAAAAATGTGTGGGATTTGATTTTTTTTTTAAAATTACTATCGGAACTAAAAAAAAAAACTCAGCAGTGATCAGTGATGGAGTGAAGACATGGAGGAACTTCGGGACGGAGCACTTATATGGAGATGTCCTGTTATATTGGTTCTTAATACAACTCAATGCATATTTAGTAGGCAAAGACCTTATATGATATAGTATATAACTGTCACTTGGGGTACCTACCACAACCCTAAATTTGACAACTTCCAAACAAACAGAACCAGCATTGGGCAGACAACTCTAGATCTTTAGTGACAAGGGAAGCCACTCTAGAAACTAAGGCCTTCATGCCTACAGTATACCGGTAAAAGTTCCTTTAGTCTACTAAATGAACAGAAGAATATATTTAATAGAATCCTTCTCTTTCGAGGTGAGTGCATGAAACATGCAAGTGTCCCTCAGACACCAGCTGGCTTTAGAGTGTATCTGTGTAAACCGCCGTATAGGAATAATGTAGAGAGAAGATGGACAATGTATTAGTCAGCTGCCCATTCTATTGTGATGAAATCGAAGAACTATTTCCCCGTGTATGTACTGTGGGAAAAAGAGGAGAGGGGGGGGGGCGGTAAGCAGGATTCATTTGCAAGCAGTGGTTGGAGAAGGCAGTTCGTCGAGTCAGCTTCTTTCTGTGTCCCAGGGCATGCGGGTGTTTGTGATAATTAAAGAGCCGGGGAACTGGCTCTTTCATAGGTGCAGATTGCCGACTTATAGATCAAATTTCACATTATTTATGCCCTTAGCGGAAAAGAATGGTTGTAAGACTTTGGTTGCATTGAGACTACATTGCTGATACGAATGTGAATTTGTGAATTAACAATCGACACAACAAGGAAGGATACATAGATACATGAATCATGCCAACCATCATAGGACAGACACTATAATCCATGGGATACTGATTGGCAATAAGTTTGCTCCTTTTTCTTCTTCTTCTTCTTCTTCCTCCTCTTTTTCGCTCATCGCTTTCTAATTTACACCGAGAGACAGGTTCTTTTGAATAACCTGACTGCTTTTAGGAGTTCACTTTTAGTTCCATACAACTTTCAGTTCAGCGTTAACTTAGTGGACTAGTATTCCTTTCCTAATGGGCTGTACATAGAACATTCTTGCATGACATCTGCAGTTGAACTCAGTCAACACGGACACAGTGGCAAACTATGTAGACGAAGCCTATGCTTGTTCACTTATGTCCTGTCATGAGGCGTAGAATAATGACTCGCCCATGCCGGTCAAGTAAGTGGTAGTTATGTTTGCTCGGGAGAGTTTTTTTCCGCCCGGAAAAACAAAACAGCGGTACTAACCACATAGGTTTTTACAAAATATAATGCCTGAAAAAGGTGGTGGTGGTGCGTACATTTGCATACCGCGGGATAGTAGAGCCCTATCATGGTTAACCTAACAATTTTGTCACCGCAGTCCATATCCGACATTAAGGAGCGGCTGGCCGAACCGTTAAGAACACTGGCCTCTCATACAGGAGACCCGAGCTCGAATTCTCATTCAGGTTAGGAATTTACCGCAAAATGATAAATATGGCGGTAATTGACAATTTGGCAATGCATATCCAACATGCTCTTTGACAATTCCAATGGATGTGGTACAGTCTGCACATGGAGTCTCTCGTTTCATACCCTGTGTACTTGGCTCCATTGACTGGGTATACTGGGAGAGAAATGACAGAATAAATGAAATAATATTTTCTAAAACATAAAGAAGAAGAAGAAGAACAAGAAGAAGAAGAAGAAGAAGAAGAAAAAGAAGAAGCAGAAGCAAAAGAAAAGGAAGAAGAAGAAAAAGAAGAAGAAGAAAAAGAAGATGAAGAAAAAGAAGAAGAAGAACCTGTGTTGGCTGTCTGGTTTACTTCTTTTGCTTGTTCTTCGCCTTCACCGGCTGTAAACTCTGGCGGAAAGTTTAGGTGTTCGTCCACTTCCGAACTTTAGTCATGTTCCAGAACTCTAGTGTTGTGTGCTCACTTGTTTCACACATCTGGCTTATGTGTTTGCCAACTCTTGGTTCCTTGCCTCTCAGACAGATAGATGCACTCCAGCATCGAACGATAACCCCAATAAGTCGACTCATGTTTTGGGGGGAAGTAGTGGATCCATTCTTGTTGCTCAATCACCCCCCCCCCCCCACACACACACACACACACACACACACACACACACACAATGGGGGGCCCCAGAGCCCACACGCAGAGCAGGTTTATTGATTGTTTATTTATTCTGTAAGCTGGTAAATTCTCTTAAAGTCTTTAAGTTTCAGTTCAATTCTTTTGAGCTGGCTTTCCCGACTTTGGGATAATAAAGAGCTTGCATCTGTCGGAGTGACTACTGAGTATTCATTTGCTGTTGTTGAGCCAGTTCTGAACGAGAATCTCCCCCACCCCACTACCACTATCTCTTGTTCCTCCTCATCTTTTTTTTTCTCCCTCTTCTTCCCTTTATCTCCAAGTGTATAAAAGTCCCTCAACCAACTAAGGTAGGTAGGTAGGTAGGTGCTTTGCTGAAAAACAAAAATGCTCACGATTTATCTAGAATCCCTGAAGGGGGAGCTTTAGGCTATAATTGTGAGTAGGTTTGTGTGCGCCATATAAAATAGCTTAGCATGCGACGAAAGGAGACCGACCTCAATTCTGTCCTGACAGACGACGAAGCCGTCTACCGGCGAGCCAGTAGGCATTTTTGTGTGTGTTCAGATTGGTTGAATTTAGCGGATTTTTTTAATACTCAATAGTTTAATAAGTCTTACGTAACAGTTTCGTGGTCGCTTGGCGACATAGGAGACTGAAGTATTACTATTCCTTTTTTCCCCCTCGTGAAATGGGAAAAATTAACAGGTCCTCGTTTCATTTAATTGTGTACCAAACATTCATTCATTCATTCAGTAGCATGTCCCTCGCGGAATCTCGCTGTCATAACAACCCTCCGGAAAACCTTCCTATCCTGAGCAAGATGTCCTGCGTCTGATACACCCATCTGGAGATCATCTGCCACATCCTGCACCCATCTTCTCCTTGGCCTTCCTCTTCCTCTCTTCCCAGGCATATAACCCTCCATTATTGTTCTCTCTAGACTTCCATGACGTTTCAAGTGACCAAAATATTTTAATTTTCTTTGTTTTATTGTCTTTACTAGCCAACCCTCTTCAATATTCAGCTCTTGAAGTATGGATGCATTTGTTTCTTTTCTTTACCCAAGATATTCTTAGAACCTGTCTGTAACATTTTATATTCAATTGCATTTATGCGCTGTTCGCGCTGTTTAGTAAGTGTCCAGGTCTCACAGGCATATTTTGCAACGGGAAAGATGCATGCTCTTAAAAATCTGACCTTTGTAATTCTATCTGTACAATTCCATAATTTATTCAGTTGTTTTTAGGTCTTTGAAGAGCAATTGATAGTCCGCCGTTTAATTTCTTTCATTGTGTCACCATTGTTGGTAACCAGTGACCCAAGATATTCGAAATTTTCCACCACTTCCAATCTTTCCTCATTAACATATATTTCCTTCTCCATGGCAGTTTTGTTTGTATGCATTATCTTTGTTTTTGCTATGTTAAGAAATAAGTTATGATTTTCACTATTTCTTTGGAGTGAGGTTAATAAGTTTTCTAAACCATTTTGTGATGTTGATAGTAATACTGTATCATCAGCATAACGAATTTCTGGTATTTTCTGACCACCGATGTTTAGGGCATCATATTGTTCCTTGTTTATATCATCTCTTACATTTCTCATTATATTTTCGGCGTACAGGTTGAACAAATACGTGTGACAGCACACATCCCTGACGACTCCTTGCTTGATGCCTAACCAGTCTGATGTCTCTCCATCTATTCTGACTGCTGCTTGTTGGTCTTGATAGAGCATTTTAATGAGCTGCACTATATGTGATGGAAAGCCCTTATTCCTCATGATTTCCCAAAGCTTCTGATGTTGTACACAGTCAAATGCTTTTGAATAATCCACAAAACATAAGAACAGATTTACATTAAATTCTCTACACTTTTCTATTATTAAACGCATGTTGAATATATGATCTCTTGTTCCTCTTCCCTGTCTAAATCCAGCCTGAGCTACATTAATCTCTTCTTCCATTTTCTTATGCAGTCTTCTCATTATAATTGTTAGTAGAATTTTACTTGCATGACTGATCAGGGCAATAGTTCGATAGTTTGTACATAATTTCAGGTCACCCTTTTTTGGTATTGGACTGAAGATAGTTCTCTTCCAGTCTTTTTACCAAATACCATATTTCCATATCTTTTCACATAATGCATGATAGATTTTTATGCTTTCTTCTCCTCCCGCTTTAATCAATTCAGCTGGTATCTCATCACATCCAGGTGATTTACCATTTTTCAGGCTCCTTATTGCCCATGAAATTTCATCTAATGAAGGTTCAGGTTCTGCCTCTACTGTTACTGGTTCATGTATATCATTCATATCCTCACTGTCATTCATATCATACATTCCGCTGCAGTATTCCTGCCATCTTCCTAGAATTTGTCTAGATTCTGTTAAAGTATTTCCTAACCTGTCACAAATAACATTTAACTGAGGTTGAAAATTTTCTTGTCAATAACTTCATTTCCTTGAACATTTCGTAATCTCTTCCATTTTTTATGATGCTGCTCTATTTTAATACAGCAAATCTTGTACATACTGATTTTTTATCCTTTCTTGTGTACTTTCTTATTTCTCGTGTTAAAAATTTATACTTCATCCTACTGTCATTGGTTTCTCCTTTCTTTTTCAGTTCCCTTCGTTGTTTTATTAGTTCTAACGTGTATGGTGTGATCCATGGTTTATGTTGCTTAGTCCTGGTGGGTATTAAGTCTTTAGCTGCTGTTATCAAGATATCCCTAGCTTGTACCGCCAGTTCATCAGGTGTCATTTCCTCTTGTACAGACATCAAGACCTCAAACGGTTTTTCACTTCTACGTTGTATATCATCTGGTATTTTTGTGAGATCAAATCGAAATGGCCTTGGTCCTCGGGTAAGCTTTTTGAGTTTTAATTTCAGATCTGCTTCTAGTAACTGATGATCTGTATGGCAGTCTGCACTTCGCAGGGTTTTTGCAGATGTTATGCTCGATCTCCATCTTCTTTGTATTAAAATGTAATCTATCTGATTTTTGGTAACACCGTCAGGGGATGTCCATGTGAAAAGCCTTCAAGGGTGTTGTTTATAAAGTGTGTTAGCTATTGTTAATTCATTTTCTATGCAAAATTCAATCAATTTTTCTCCTGTTTCATTTCTATTACCCAATCCAAATTTTCCTAAAACGTGTCTCTCATTTTCAGCTCTGCCTGTACCTACTTTAGCATTAAAATCTCCCATTATTATTATTATATCATTCTGATTAATTTATTTAATGTGTCTTGCAGTCTGATAGTTAGGAATTCTATGATAGTTTTTAGACTAACTGGATTATATCCCATAATAGCTTTTGCTGTTGTTTTATCTAAACAAAATGCCACTCCGCTCTGACCTCTTACATCTCTACCAGAATATACGAAAAAGCTTCCATATTCATTGATAAAATGTCCCTTGCCACTCCAACGATGTTCACAAATTCCTAAGATCTGAATATTTAATCTTTCAATCTCATCACATACTACTTTAAGCTTTCCTTCATACAGACTTCTCACATTCCACGTTCCTATTCGCATTCTGTTTCTTAGTCTGACACAGTGGATTTCCTTGGTAACACAGTCAGGATTAACTCCGTCATCACGATTACTAGTACTGACCCCTGTATCACACTCTTTCCCAGTGTTATCTGATCTGCCTGGCCTGGGGGTCTCGCCACCAGATCTCTTCTGTGTTATGTTTTCTTTCATGATTGTTATGGATTCTTGGCAAAATTTGCAGAAGGTAGTTTGCCGTTGCTTTCCTCCTGAGCAGTGACTATACTAGTCGATGGCCATAGCCATTGTCTCTACTGATGAGATCATCTGCCTATCGCCGCAGAGTGCAGACCATAACCAACAATACCTGTCGGCTGCTCTTACACTCCATCCACCACCTGCTTCCATGGCTTCACGTAACCCTGATTGGGGGGCTAAACAGGTACCAAACAACTGGATTAAATTCGGAGATCGTTTTATAGAAGCCGCTCAACGATACAGTTGCCTATTCCATTTTGATGAAATAAAAAAATCCATTTCCACGTGTATGTACTGTATGGAGTGAGGCAGGATGCACGCGGTTTCAGTGAAGGCAGAGGTCAACAACTCGTCGAATCACTTTGATCTGTGTTCCAGAGCAGGCGGGTGTTTCCGATAATGAAAGAGCAGAAGAATTGGCTAGCGCTGGCATAGATGGAAATGGCCAAACTATAGATCACTTTGCGAATTATTAATGCCCATAGAGAGATAGCGCAATTATGCGACTTTGGTTGAAGTAAGTCTGCATTGTTGGAAACGATGAAAATTTGTGAATTAAAGATTGGCATAGCAAGGAACGAGAGGGTCACCAGATACAGGAATCTTACCACCATCACAGGACTGGTACTGTATGCTGTAAGGTGCTGACTGGGTGGAATGGGGGGGGGGGTTAGTTAGTTAGTTAGTTAGTTAGTTAGTTAGTTAGTTAGTTAGTTAGTTAGTTAGTTAGTTAGTTAGTTAGTTAATTAGTTAGTTAGTTAGTTAGGTTATCATCATTGCACTCCGGACATGTCCATAGGTGCTCAGATCCTCCCCTTAGTATGAACCCCAACGTCCGATGGCTAATAGTACCAGTTCTATGTTGATTAACAAGTCTTCTGACGTGTCTGGTGTGCGTCTCGTTTTTTGCTGTGCCGATCTTAATTCCCAAGTCTGCCATTCTGGCGAGTGATGTGGATTCACTGACCCCAAAGTCCTCTATCCTTCCCATTTCTCTGAGGGCATTGATAATATCAGCATGATCCAAAGGCTGACCGTCGGTAGTGATAGCGGATCCAGCCAACCTGTCATGCTGTGATACAGAGAGTCGACCGCATTAGGCGGCACCGTAAGGTGGCGGCAAAGGCAGCAACATAAAAATACAATTTGATATGTTGATCTGATATATATATATATATATATATATATATATATATATATATATATATATATATATATATATATTATATGTGTGTGTGTGTGTATAACTAATAGCGCGAAGTTATTATTTGTGTGTGTGTGGTAATATATCGCGCTGCCACGCGTAAAAGCTGAGGCGACAGTTATCCCAAAAGACAGTTGCAAGTATTTATTTTAAAATTACAATTAAAGGAGTTTTTTGTTTTTTTTAACATTTAACGGACGGCATTTCGAAGAGTTGCAACATACTAAGAAAATCTACCGCACGTCCTTGTTCAGACTCCTAACTAACACTGTCTTCTTTTTCACTTATATTATTATTTTACATTTGTTTCAGTTTCAATTTTCATGCGATGTCTGACAGTATATAGCAGTCCAGTAATGCAAACTACTGGGAGGATTTCCAATGAAATATCAGGCAGACTCACAAGCTTCTTTCTTTTATACTTTCTCCAAGGAATGCCGTATGGGATTCAGACGCGCTTTCTCCCACTGCAGCTGCGAAAAGTTGGCATGTCACTTACCAACTTAGGGTATTTTAGAATGGTACTTGCTCCGTGGGTGCTAAAGGGTTTGTGGGCGCCAATAATTGACAGAACTGGTGATCTGAAAATGTTTGTCTGTGGCAGCCATATTGTTCTGGTGGCTTTGTCGCTGATCGCCTCGCAGTTTCCCCCGGAGTATATCACAGTCCTGGGGATTGTTCTGTTCCTGATTCACCTGTCTGTAGCAGTACAAGACATCGCACTGGATGGGCTTCTCATCGATCTTCTCACTCCAGCACAGCTCGTTGCCGGCAATATGGTGCAGGTCATCGGCTACAAACTTGGCTCCATAGTTTCCGGAGGCTTCTTCGGATTTTTTACGGAAATTGCCGGCTGGGATATCCTGTTCTTGTCTCTAGCAGGCATGTACGCATTAGGTTATATGATATCAGTCATCAGCATACCCTCAGCGGTTCAAAATGACATAATATTCCCAGATGAGGACGGTTCAGAAACGCAAATACCAGTCAACAGCAACGTAAGCAGTATGCTGGGATTCGATGACACCAACAGCGTACCTATGGAGTTAAGCTTGAGACAACGAAGGCAGAGGCCACAGCAGTCGATTTACCAGTTAGTGGACATCGAAGGCACTATGTGGCTTTTACCGTTCGTGTTTTTGTACAAGTGTGGTAAGACCATTCTCTCTGTTGATCCTGTTTATAGCTGTTCTGTTAATCCCGTTCTTAGACAAGGATGTGTACCATCTCACCCGATCTATTATGTTTGTACACTAAAAATGATGTCTGTGGCTTGGGCATTGCAAACGCGCTTCCTAATGCCGATATGCCGGTTGCTATAGGCCAGCTTTACCACACACTGTGAAAGACAAACAGGTTAGTTGCGTATCCTTTAAAGGACGTTGCAGAACCAACCCCAGCAGCGCCTGGCCGTTGTGTGGTTTCTCTATGCAAATTTACGTCCAGTAGTTTGACACTGCCGACTAAACGGTCGGCTTTCTTGATACCATTGTCTAAACCAACTCAAGGCGCATGGCCCGCAGCTGGGATCGAACCCGGTATCCCGGCATTACGAAGCGTTCACATCGATTTAGCCACAGAGCCGACTTGCCTCTCATGACTTTGTTCATACTGCTAGTTTGATTTGTGAACAACTATCCTTTTTAACAGCTGTGATATGATATTTAGCCATATAAACGCAGATGTTAACATAATTTTGGCATAGACAGACCTAGGCAATCCATTAGTCTTTGGCTCCTAGGAAGGAAAGCTCTTACAGGCGGACAGATGGAGCACTGCTTTTCTGATCCAGCAGCTTTGTCCCAGAAGTACTGATGTTACCTTTCCTATGGAGTAAATAAAGCAGGCCGAGAGAGAGAGGGATCATCATGCATGACAACATATGGTCTCTACAATACTGCCCAGGCGTTGTGTTATAGAGAGATCGCTGTGAGTCCCATGCCTCCTCATAGCGCAGTATAAGACTATCGTCTGCAAAGATGAAAAGGTGCCAGTCAGTCAGTCAACAAACCGTATACCACAGCAAGCAATAAGGTACAGGCCAGGCGGGAAGTGAAGAAGAGGCAAACGATGGACATAGGGGATAACATAGTCCATGGGAAACTCTATTTACGAAGCACATAGAAGACCACTTTCCTGTAAATTATACTTCACCTCGACCTCGCAAGGTGCAAAAGGATCAGGTTGAGATAGATTAATAAAAATGAGATCTTTACAAAGTTAACCAGGAAAATCGGCTTTTGGGCATGATATGAACAACCTGCGATATGCCTCTAATATAGTTTTGATCATTGAAAACTACCAGAAATGGCGGGCATAATTGTTACAGAAAGTCAAAACAAGTGTCTTAGTTTGAAAGGCAAGAATAAAACCCAAATAATTAATGGCAGTTAAAAAGAGAATACGTACTCAGAAGTGTAACATTTAAGTAACTGGGATAACTCTCTTGCAGGTCGATTCGTTTACTTATTACTTGTTGTCCGTATCGATAACTTTGTACATCGGTCCGACCAGCTCATGCTGCCTCCTCTGTTATCCGATTCAGCAGCCAACTCAGTGTGTTCATGATCAACGATCTGTCCATGATCAACTGGAGTACATCGTGAAGTTTGGAAAGTAAGAGGGGATAGGGGCATGGGGAGGGGCAGAGGGAGACGGAGAGAATAGATGCTAGACAATTTGACATAATGGCATGGAAGATCATATTTGTTAGAAATGATTAAAGCACACGAGATTTTTTTTTTTTTTTTTTTTTTGGGGGTTTTTTTTTGGGGGGGGGGGGGTTTTTTTTTTTTTTTTTTTTTTTCCCCCCCCCCCCTTTTTTTTTTTTTTTTTTTTGGGGGGGGGGGGGGGGGGGGGGGGGGGGGGGGGGGGGGGGGGGTTTTTTTTTTTTTTTTTTTTTTTTTTTTTTTTTTTTTTTTTTTTTTTTTTTTTTTTTTTTTTTTTTTTTTTTTTTTTTTTTTTTTTTTTGGGGGGGGGGGGGGGGCCCCCCCCAAAAAAATTTTTTTTTTTTTTTTTTTTTTTTTTTTTTTTTTTTTTTTTTTTTTTTTTTTTTTTTTTTTTTTTTTTTTTTGGGGGGGGGGGGGGGGGGGGGGGGGGCCCCCCCCCCCCCCCCCCTTTTTTTTTTTTTTTTTTTTTTTTTTGGGGGGGGGGGGGGGTTTTTTTGGGGGGGTTTTTTTTTTTGGGGGGGGTTTTTTTTTTTTTTTTTTTGGGGGGGGGGGGCCCCCCCGGGGGGGGGGGGGGAAAAAAAAATTTTTTTTTTTTTTTTTTTTTTTTTTTTTTTTTTTTTTCCCCCCCCCGGGGGGGGGGGGGGGGGTTTTTTTTTTTTTTTTTTTTTTTTTTTTTTTTTTTTTTTTTTTTTTTCCCCCTTTTTTTTTTCCCTTTTTTTTTTTTTTTTCCCCTTTTTTTTTTTTTCCTTTTTTCTTTTTTTTTTTTTCTTCTTCTTTTTTTTTTTCTTTTTTTTTTAAAACCCCTTTTTTTTTCCCCCCTTTTTCCCCCTTTTTTTTTTTTTCCTTTTTTTTTTTTTTCCCTTTTTTTTTTTCCGGAAAAAGGGGGGGGGAAAAAAAATATTTTTAAAATTTTTTTTTTAAAAAAAAAATTTAAAGGGTTTGGAAAATTTTTCCCCCTTTCCGGGAAAAGGGGCCCTTTTTTTTTTATTTTTTGGGGGGGGGGGTTTTTGGGGGGTTTTTTTAAAACCCTTTTTCTTCTTCTTCTGCTTCTTCTTCTGCTTCTTCCTTCTTTTTCTTCTTCTGCTGCTGTTTCTTTTTCTGATTTGATGCTTACGTCAGAAAACATAGAAGGCCAGTAGCCTTGATGAAGGCTGCTGTTCAGAACAGATCATTCCATGCACCATACAGCGTTGTCTCGGAAATTGTAGGGGTAAGCCAGATGGCTTGTGTGTCAGCAGCACACAGTTCACAGTGTTGTTGGTGCACAGACTTAGTATTTTCAGGCTCATAGGCGGCATCTTCGTGTTTCCTACACGGAAAATATTGTTAATGTAGCCAAGACGGTAAAGATTTACTTTACCTTCTGAACTATTCCAAGGTGACCAGGGCGTATCCTCATTGTTCCCAATGTTTATGATCGACGCTGGCCTGGACATGGCGGAAGTCGCCTTCTGGGGAGGTTGTGTTGGACAAGTCTTTTCTCTGGCTGGTTCAGTGGTGGGCGGAGTTCTACGAAAGTAAGTTTTGTACTCGCTCGCCTGTCGTGCAACAGAAAGGTCTTAAAATCAAAGGTGCATCGCACCGCATTATTATTATTTTTTTTTTTTTCAGAAATGATCTATTACTGGTGAAATCCCAATCTCTTTTGGGCTATCACTCTTCAGACTTCTATTAATAGACATAAAGAAGACAATACCCCACACTAAAGGCCACAAACCACCATGATAGACATAAAGAAGACAATACCCCACACTAAAGGCCACAAACCACCATGATAGACAGAAAAAAGACAATACCCCACACTAAAGGCCACAAACCACTATGACAGACATAAAGAAGACAATACCCCACACTAAAGGCCACAAACCACCATGATAGACATAAAGAAGACAATACCCCACACTAAAGGCCACAAACCACCATGATAGACAGAAAAAAGACAATACCCCACACTAAAGGCCACAAACCACTATGACAGACATAAAGAAGACAATACCCCACACTAAAGGCCACAAACCACCATGATAGACTGAAAGAAGACAATACCCCACACTAATGGCCAGGAACCACCATGATAGACAGAAAGAAGAAAATGCTTCTCACCAAAGGCCATGAACCACCATGATAGACAGAAAGAAGAAAATGCTTCTCACCAAAGGCCATAACCACCGCGATAGACAGAAAGAAGACATTAGCCCACACTAAAGGCCACAAACCACCATGATAGACAGAAAGAAGAAAATACTCCTCACCAAAGAACACGAACCACCGTGATAGACAGAAAGAAGAAAATATTCATCATCTGCATAAATGTCTTGTAGGGACCCAGAATTAGAAAAGTAACAGCAAAGAGAAACCCCTAAAGAATCTATTTTTATGTGAGTATACACTACTCGATTGTGAGCAACAGGTACGATGCAATACCAAAAATACAAACGATAAACGATCAGTGGGAAATGCTGAAAGAGTCTTTCCACAAAACAAGCAAAGAGATTTTGCCAGAGGGAAGACAGAAAGCTAAACAGAAATGGATTACAGAAGAAATTTGAAAGTTAATGGACGACAGAAAACGAAGCATGAATGACAAAGAAGAATATGACAAGTTAAATAAAGAATTAATTCACTACAAACGTGAGGCCCTTTCAATGCTCACATTATTACAATGTCCCTGTTTCTTCTTTATAACTAAGGTAAAGACTTAAGTCTGGGCCTTTTTGTACATTACAAAAGAGGCATACATGCAAACTGTTATCCACATGCAAATACTGTCCAGTATTCTATCAGTGCCAAACATGGGCATTTACATCCTCTGATAGACTTAAAATTGTGACAACAGAGATGGAATGCCTTAAAAGAGCTGCAGGAGTTCCAAGGAAAGACAGAATACGAAGTCACGAAATCAGACGAAT